CTGGAGTGAACATGCAGAACGCCAGAAGAACGCGCGCCCCCTCGTGGCCAGTGGAGGAAGCGTTCACTCACAGTCGCAGTGATGCTTTTCGGGATATCTGTCATTTACTATAACATTTGTCTGAATTTTCAAAAAAGTGACAAAAGTTTTTTTGAAGTAAAAAAAAAAAGTGACTTTGGAAAATCAACTCTAAAATCATACAAATGGAAGTGATGTAGTGATGAGAATTTTTTGAGCTTCGATTTATCAATATGTTTGTATTGATGTTCAAATGTCAATGTTGTTACTTTTGGTAATAGACCCAAGAAACGCAGATCACGGAATCTGGACATGTGTATTTAGACCCAAGAACTCATTTGCTCATTATCTAAATATCTATCTATCTATCTATCTATCTATCTATCTATCTATCTATCTATCTATCTATCTATCTATCTATCTATCTATCTATCTATCTATCTATCTATCTGTCTATCTTTCTTTCTTTCTATCTGTCTATCTTTCTGTCTGTCTATCTTTCTTTCTATCTATCTGTCTATCTTTCTGTCTATCTATCTATCTGTCTGTCTATCTATCTGTCTATCTTTCTGTCTATCTATCTGTCTATCTTTCTGTCTATCTATCTGTCTATCTTTCTTTCTATCTGTCTATCTTTCTGTCTATCTTTCTGTCTATCTATCTGTCTATCTTTCTTTCTATCTGTCTATCTTTCTGTCTATCTTTCTTTCTATCTATCTGTCTATCTTTCTTTCTATCTGTCTGTCTATCTTTCTGTCTATCTTTCTGTCTATCTATCTGTCTATCTTTCTGTCTATCTATCTGTCTATCTTTCTTTCTATCTGTCTATCTATCTATCTATCTATCTTTCTGTCTATCTATCTGTCTATCTTTCTTTCTATCTGTCTATCTTTCTGTCTATCTTTCTTTCTATCTGTCTATCTTTCTGTCTATCTTTCTGTCTATCTATCTGTCTATCTTTCTGTCTATCTATCTGTCTATCTTTCTTTCTATCTGTCTTTCTGTCTGTCTATCTTTCTTTCTATCTGTCTATCTTTCTGTCTATCTTTCTTTCTATCTGTCTATCTTTCTGTCTATCTTTCTTTCTATCTATCTGTCTATCTTTCTGTCTATCTTTCTATCTGTCTATCTATCTGTCTATCTTTCTTTCTATCTGTCTATCTGTCTGTCTATCTTTCTTTCTATCTGTCTATCTTTCTGTCTATCTTTCTTTCTATCTGTCTGTCTATCTTTCTGTCTATCTATCTGTCTATCTTTCTGTCTATCTATCTGTCTATCTTTCTTTCTATCTGTCTTTCTGTCTGTCTATCTTTCTTTCTATCTGTCTATCTTTCTGTCTATCTTTCTTTCTATCTGTCTATCTTTCTGTCTATCTTTCTTTCTATCTATCTGTCTATCTTTCTGTCTATCTTTCTATCTGTCTATCTATCTGTCTATCTTTCTTTCTATCTGTCTATCTTTCTGTCTATCTTTCTTTCTATCTGTCTATCTTTCTGTCTATCTATCTGTCTATCTTTCTTTCTATCTGTCTATCTGTCTGTCTATCTTTCTATCTCTCTGTCTATCTTTCTTTCTATCTGTCTATCTTTCTGTCTATCTTTCTTTCTATCTGTCTATCTTTCTGTCTATCTTTCTTTCTATCTATCTGTCTATCTTTCTGTCTATCTTTCTATCTGTCTATCTATCTGTCTATCTTTCTTTCTATCTGTCTATCTGTCTGTCTATCTTTCTATCTGTCTGTCTATCTTTCTTTCTATCTGTCTATCTTTCTGTCTATCTATCTGTCTATCTTTCTTTCTATCTGTCTATCTGTCTGTCTATCTTTCTTTCTATCTGTCTATCTGTCTGTCTATCTTTCTTTCTATCTGTCTATCTGTCTGTCTATCTTTCTATCTATCTGTCTATCTTTCTTTCTATCTGTCTATCTGTCTGTCTATCTGTCTTTCTATCTGTCTATCTTGCTTTCTATCTATCTATCTGTCTATCTTTCTGTCTATCTATCTGTCTATCTTTCTTTCTATCTTTCTGTCTATCTTTCTTTCTATCTATCTGTCTATCTTTCTGTCTATCTTTCTATCTGTCTATCTATCTGTCTATCTTTCTTTCTATCTGTCTATCTTTCTGTCTATCTTTCTTTCTATCTGTCTATCTTTCTGTCTATCTATCTGTCTATCTTTCTTTCTATCTGTCTATCTGTCTGTCTATCTTTCTATCTCTCTGTCTATCTTTCTTTCTATCTGTCTATCTTTCTGTCTATCTTTCTTTCTATCTGTCTATCTTTCTGTCTTTCTATCTGTCTATCTATCTGTCTATCTTTCTTTCTATCTGTCTATCTGTCTGTCTATCTTTCTATCTGTCTGTCTATCTTTCTTTCTATCTATCTGTCTATCTTTCTGTCTATCTATCTGTCTATCTTTCTTTCTATCTGTCTATCTGTCTGTCTATCTTTCTTTCTATCTGTCTATCTTTCTGTCTGTCTATCTTTCTTTCTATCTATCTGTCTATCTTTCTGTCTATCTATCTATCTGTCTGTCTATCTATCTGTCTATCTTTCTGTCTATCTATCTATCTATCTATCTATCTATCTATCTATCTATCTATCTATCTTTCTTTCTTTCTTTCTATCTGTCTATCTTTCTGTCTATCTATCTGTCTATCTTTCTTTCTATCTTTCTGTCTATCTTTCTTTCTATCTATCTGTCTATCTTTCTGTCTATCTTTCTATCTGTCTATCTATCTGTCTATCTTTCTTTCTATCTGTCTATCTTTCTGTCTATCTTTCTTTCTATCTGTCTATCTTTCTGTCTATCTATCTGTCTATCTTTCTTTCTATCTGTCTATCTGTCTGTCTATCTTTCTATCTCTCTGTCTATCTTTCTTTCTATCTGTCTATCTTTCTGTCTATCTTTCTTTCTATCTGTCTATCTTTCTGTCTTTCTATCTGTCTATCTATCTGTCTATCTTTCTTTCTATCTGTCTATCTGTCTGTCTATCTTTCTATCTGTCTGTCTATCTTTCTTTCTATCTATCTGTCTATCTTTCTGTCTATCTATCTGTCTATCTTTCTTTCTATCTGTCTATCTGTCTGTCTATCTTTCTTTCTATCTGTCTATCTGTCTGTCTATCTTTCTTTCTATCTGTCTATCTGTCTGTCTATCTTTCTTTCTATCTATCTGTCTATCTTTCTTTCTATCTGTCTATCTATCTGTCTATCTTTCTGTCTATCTGTCTGTCTATCTGTCTTTCTATCTGTCTATCTTTCTTTCTATCTATCTGTCTATCTTTCTGTCTATCTATCTGTCTATCTTTCTTTCTATCTGTCTATCTGTCTGTCTATCTTTCTTTCTATCTGTCTATCTGTCTGTCTATCTTTCTTTCTATCTGTCTATCTGTCTGTCTATCTTTCTTTCTATCTATCTGTCTATCTTTCTTTCTATCTGTCTATCTATCTGTCTATCTTTCTGTCTATCTGTCTGTCTATCTGTCTTTCTATCTGTCTATCTTTCTTTCTATCTATCTGTCTATCTTTCTTTCTATCTGTCTATCTTTCTGTCTATCTTTCTGTCTATCTATCTGTCTATCTTTCTTTCTATCTGTCTATCTTTCTTTCTATCTGTCTATCTTTCTGTCTGTCTATCTATCTGACTATCTATCTGTCTATCTTTCTTTCTATCTGTCTATCTTTCTGTCTGTCTATCTGTCTGTCTATCTATCTGTCTATCTTTCTTTCTATCTGTCTATCTTTCTGTCTGTCTATCTTTCTATCTGTCTATCTTTCTGTCTGTCTATCTATCTGTCTATCTTTCTTTCTATCTGTCTATCTTTCTGTCTGTCTATCTGTCTGTCTGTCTATCTATCTGTCTATCTTTCTTTCTATCTGTCTATCTTTCTGTCTGTCTGTCTATCTTTCTGTCTGTCTATCTTTCTGTCTATCTATCTGTCTATCTTTCTTTCTATCTGTCTATCTATCTGTCTATCTTTCTTTCTATCTGTCTATCTTTCTGTCTGTCTATCTTTCTGTCTGTCTATCTATCTGTCTATCTTTCTTTCTGTCTGTCTGTCTATCTTTCTGTCTGTCTATCTATCTTTCTGTCTGTCTATCTGTCTGTCTATCTTTCTATCTGTCTATCTTTCTGTCTGTCTATCTGTCTATCTATCTGTCTATCTTTCATTCAATCTGTCTATCTTTCTGTCTGTCTATCTATCTGTCTATCTATCTATCTTTCTTTCTATCTGTCTATCTTTCTGTCTGTCTATCTGTCTGTCTGTCTATCTATCTGTCTATCTTTCTTTCTATCTGTCTATCTGTCTGTCTGTCTATCTGTCTGTCTATCTTTCTGTCTGTCTATCTTTCTGTCTATCTATCTGTCTATCTTTCTTTCTATCTGTCTATCTTTCTTTCTATCTGTCTATCTTTCTGTCTGTCTTTCTGTCTGTCTATCTTTCTGTCTGTCTATCTATCTGTCTATCTTTCTTTCTGTCTGTCTATCTTTCTGTCTGTCTATCTTTCTGTCTGTCTATCTGTCTATCTTTCTGTCTATCTATCTATCTATCTGTCTATCTTTCTTTCTGTCTGTCTATCTTTCTGTCTGTCTATCTTTCTGTCTGTCTATCTTTCTGTCTGTCTATCTATCTGTCTATCTTTCTTTCTGTCTGTCTGTCTTTCTGTCTGTCTATCTGTCTATCTTTCTGTCTATCTATCTGTCTATCTTTCTGTCTGTCTCTTTCCGTCTGTCTATCTGTCTATCTTTCTGTCTGTCTCTTTCCGTCTGTCTATCTGTCTATCTTTCTGTCTGTCTATCTTTCTGTCTATCTTTCTGTCTATCTTTCTGTCTATCTTTCTGTCTATCTATTTGTCTATCTATCTTTCTGTCTATCTTTCTGTCTATCTATTTGTCTATCTTTCTTTCTGTCTGTCTTTCTGTCTGTCTATCTTTCTGTCTCTCTGTCTATCTATCTATCTTTCTGTCTGTCTATCTTTC